GGCGTTTCCCCCAACAGAATTTTCCTCTGCACAGGGAAATACTAAATCCTCCCAAAATAAGGACCTGGCCGTGGGTATCTCGTGGGTGAAGGGGGCAGCTGTAGCGTTGCCTTTCCCTGCCAGCCCAAGGGCTTACAAATACCTTCTAGATGGCCCGCAGGCACGGTACTGAGCAAGACCTCAGCTTGCCTTCAGTTTTCTAAATCAATAAATAAGTAAATGAGCAAAGGAAAAATGCTGGCCCTGTAAATAGACAAAGCAAAGCTTCAGATGCAGAAGACAGCCATGCCAGTGCGCGCCCAGGCAGCCTGGTTTGCTGACAAGGCAGCTGAACGCTCACAGCGCTCCCCAGCCTCACTCCCCGATCCCCTGAAGGCTCCTAACCCCCCCACAAAATATTCCTGTGGGACCTACAAACACACACAAACACACACACACACACACACACACACACACCCCAACACTAACTCGCCCCCACGCCTTCACTGCAAGATCCTTTATTCCCGTAGGACACCCCCCAGCCCCCCAACAGAACCCCCCCTAAATACACAACAGTCAGTGGGGATTGGGCTTCCACAAGCCACGCCCCCCGCACAGGCTCCTCCCCCCCAGCATGTTTAAGGCACTTGAGGGGGGCACACCAAAGTGACTACAGCCCCCCCTGAACCGTCCCCCCACAGCCCTTAGCACCCGCAAATCACCCCAAATGCCTCCATATCGCCACAAACTCCCCATAACCCCCAAATCACCCCAAAACTTCCCTAGATCCCTCCATACCCCGAGATTAACCCAAAACCACCCATATCCCACCAAATCACTCCCAACCCCCCCATGTCCCCTAAATCACCCCCAAAACATCCCTTAGCTCCCCAAATCCCATCAAAACCTCCCCATATCACCCCAACCCCCCCATATCCTTCCATAATTACCCATTTATCCCCAAAATCACCTCTCCATAATTCAACCCCAGCTCCCCACAAATCACCTCACCATTTCTTCCCCAACCACCCCCATATCCCAGAAAACTCACCCCAAACCCCCCACAAATCCCCACAAAATCACCCCAAAACCATCCATATCCACTCAAAAAACTTCCCCATATAACCCCTTATCCCCCATATCTCCCAAAGAACACCCATAGCCTCCCAAATCACCCTAAACCACCCCCAATATGCCCTCAAAGTCCCCCATATCACCCCCAAACTCACTATGCCCCTCCAAACCTCCTCTGTATCCCCCAAATCACCCCAAAACCTCTCCATAATCTCTCCAAAACACTCCCTATCTCCACAAATCCCCACAAATCACCTCACAACCTCCCCATGTCACCCCAATCCCCCCGCCCCCCAGCCTTCCAAATTACTCCTTATGTACCCCATATCCCCAACAAACACCTCCATATCCCCCCAAAACCCCCCATATCCCCCAAGATCCCCCAAGTTTCAGCAGCTCCAAACTCATGTACACTAAGTTCCTCTGACGGGAAATTTTAGCTTTATTCTCTCTGAGGTTTTGAAGAGCAGGCAGGTCCGTAGCCTGTGTGCATCTAGCGGAAAGAGAAAAGAAATGTTTGCATCTCTGCACTCTTGTAAGCAACAGGCTCCTTCCTGAGTAAATAAGGCCCATCCCATTTTCTTTCACTTCGGGGATCTCTTTTCAGATTAGCTTCTGGCAGGCAAGAGGAGCGCCTTGGATGTTGGGAAGCTCTGCTGAGAAAATGACAGCTGTGCCCCTCTGCTGGGATTAGCCGTTTTGGGAGGCTTTGCCACTGCTGCAGGCGGTGTGCTGAGCTGAAGGGACCTTGGGGCTGACTTACTGCAGTGGTTCTTGTGTTGTGCCCCTTGTCAGGGGCTCAGGGGAATCTCTCTTTTGGCTGCTGGGGAGGGGGAAGGTGACGAGACTGGCTGCCCTCAGAGCGTGCACCAGCGCCGTCTCCTGTACCTGCGTGGGAATTCCCCGTTGGGAGGGAGTGTAGTGACAAGGATTGAAGGGTGCGGACACCAGAAAAAATGTGTACTGCCTGGCCCTGAGTAAAATCAAGCTGCAAACTGGAAGAAAACTCGTTAATGCTTAGAAGATTTGGGTTCTGCAACAGCCCTCCATGGGAAATAAAGAAAGGAGGAAGCGACCAGCCAAACCCGGACTGCTGAGCTGGCTGTGGAGTTCAGAAAACTTTTGATGGGCCTGGAGATCCCCTCCAGTCTCTCCGTCCTCCCAATTACCTGCCTCTGCAGGCACTGTCTTTCAAGATATGTGTTCCTTCTTCGCTTTTTACCTGCTCTGATCTCTTCTTGTTTGAAACACTGAACCGTTGCTGATCAAGTCTTTGGATGGCAAGAAGTGCTATGCTGCCGGCAGCATCGTTTCACTTGTGAATGGTGCTTAGGTACCAATTCAGATAATGGCGTTTCATACAGCAGGTATTACACTTTTTAACCAGTTAACAAGCACGGGAAGGGCTTTACCTTGTTTGAACTCCTCTCCCATTACCACTGGCGTAGATGCAGATCCCTTGTGTGTAGAGTTCTGCTGTGGAGAGCCTGGGGCGAGGATCCCCATTACATGGTATCGGCTGAGGGGTTCACCTGGGATGGTAAAACAATTGTGCCTAGCATCAGTTTAGGTTAGAAAAAAGTTTAAAGGCTTCTGAATTCAATGTTTACACACCCTAGGGTCCTATAGCGGTATATTAAGATCGCCCTCTTTGAGCTGTTTCAGCAATAGAGGATTTGGCCACTCCCTATACAAGAAAAGCCAGTAACTGGCCATACAAAACTCTGCCATGGAAGTCAGGGTAGGATCGAATGTTGTCAGTGTAAATCTTATATAAAGAACTTCCTCTAGAAGTGTTACTACTTCTTGATGCAAATTAAAATAAACAATAGCTCTTACCATTTTGAATAAACAAACAAAACAACAACAACAACAACAACAAAACAAACCACCAAAACAAAATAAACCAAAAGAAGCAGCTTGTTCACAAGAGCACAAGCCAAAACATTTGGACATGTTCTTGCTACCAGCATTGTCCAGGAAACCCCACCAAGAAATCCCATCAGGTTGGAGTAAATGCCATGTCCTACAGCAGATACACTGGAGTTAGCCTGCAGTCTTCCAATACCCAAGGATATTCCTTCAAACTTGCAGCACCAAGTTCAGAATCTATAGAATACTCCCTACACTTGAGCCTCATAGTCAGCTGTTCTTGCAGTGTGATGAGGCCAAAACTGTTGGTCCTTACCAGGGATGAGAAGAAGAATCATTCCCACACCACTTCCCAAAATACTGCTACTCTGAAATGTGCCTGCACTGCTACACCTACTGCTTCACTCCAACTTGCCTGAAGAAAAATATTCTGCCATTCTTCTAGTACTTGCTCCAGCCACATGCACAAACAGTACTTGCTTATTCCTTTTGTATCAGGCTTTTTTATCATCTGTAGTCAGGTTCCTGATAAGCAATGAAGCACCTTGTCTTGTAGGCACTCCCCTCTTCTCCCCACTCCACCCCCATTAAAAAACACACCCCCTCCACCCCATGGACAGGCCTTGGCCCTCACCTAAAGAACAGGTTTTCTTCTGAAAGCTGCCATTTAAATGGCAATCCAAAGCTGAAGTACTTCCAATGGTCTCTATTTTTGCTCATTAGGGAAGAAACAATTAAGAAGGGAATCTTTAGAATAACAAAGCAGAAGTTTATGGACCGGTCGTGCACGCTTCGCAGCGCTTGTTGAAAGTGCTGAGAGGAACGAGTGTTTGAAATGAGCATGCGCCAGAGCAACACGCGGATTTGCTGTCACAAGAATATATAAGGACTTGTTTTACTAATAAACGTTGGAGCTTGACTGTTAACCATTCTGGTGTGTGTCTTGTCTCACAGCCTCACAGTCCTGCAAATACGGGGCTTCCTGCTACAGGATCCCTGGCACAAAAGCTGAGTTGTGTGGAGTTCTTTTCAAAACTCGCATTACCTCTATGAAACCAGAGCAGAAGAGGAAGGTCAGGGTGGCTGAGCTTTGGATTTAGCTTGCGCTGTGGCTCTGACAAGCCCATGAGCCCATCCTGCCATACATGAGTGTGAGCAGCACAGCCCACTCGAATACCTGCCAAAGTCAGTGTGTCGGAGCCGAGGGAGCTCCTCTTGCCCAGGTTCACCAGCTGGAGAAGAGATGGTGTCCATCCTCACCCTGCCTCGGAGTGCTCTTGGTCTGGCTCTGGGCAGCAGAATGGGCTATTTGCCCTGTGACACAGAGGGACCTCTCGGGCAAAGCAAAATACTCGGTGCTTTTTCTGACGCCTGTTCATTTTCATTCCGATTTCATGCTGCCTGAACTGTTCTGTCGAATCCTGACTGTTCTCCCCAGCTGCCCATCACCGACTCTCACGTTTTGATGGCTCTTGTCACAGACAGCCTGGTAAACGGATCTTGGTTATGTTCTCTTTCCCTTTTTTCCCCTTTGAGAAGTCTCAGGAACTTTTTGCAGCTGTCCTGACTCTCCTCCCCTGCCCTCCCTGGGCAGCGGTGTGGCAGCTAGAGCTGGCCACCGCCGGGAGGAGGTGTGCTCCGCTGGCTGTTACCGAGTTGGCAGCGCTGTGCTGTGTGCTCATCCCCAAAGCTTCTCCCTGGGCGAGGGCTTCTGCTGTTCTGCCCT